TGGAGCATCCTCCTTCACCCCAACGCCCTCAACCGACTGGCTAAGTGGCAGTCCTGCAGAAAAGGACCTGGGGATTACAGTGGATGAGAAGCTGGATATGAGTCAACACAGTAGTGTAGGTGGGGGGGAACAGGGGAGCGGCTGCTCCTGCACCGAGCACAAATGGCGCCTTTTTAATTTTACTCACCTGGGAGCGGGGGCGGGGAAAAAGGCGCCACCCGCTGTGGCGCTTTTACTGACGGGGCGGCGCTCCGGGTCTTCGGGACCTTCACTCGCTTCGGGTGTCTTCGGTGGCACTGAAGCTTCATCGCCGAAATGCCGCCGAAGACCTGCGGAGCGAGTGAAGGTCCCGCCGCCAAGGTGCCGCCGAAGACCCAGAGCGCTGCTCCATCAGTAAAAGCGCCGCAGCGGGTGGCGCCTTTTTTTCCCCCACTCCCCCTCTTCCCTCCACCTGGCTACGCCACTGAGTCAACAGTGTGCCCTTGTTGCCAAGACGGCTAACAGTATATTGGGCTGCATTAGTAGGAGCATTGCCAGAAGATCGAGGGAAGTGATTATTCCCCTTAATTCAGCACTGGGGAGGCCACATCTGGAGTATTGCGTCCAGTTTTGGGCCCCCCACTACAGAAAGGAGGTGGACAAATTGAAAAGAGTTCAGCGGAGGGCAACAAATATGATTAGGGGGTTGGAGCACATGACTTACGAGGAGAGGCTGAGGGAACTGTGCTTATTTAGTCTGCAGAAGAGAAGAGTGAGGGGGGATTTGATAGCTGCTTTCAACTACCTGAAGGGGGTTCCAAAGAGGATGGAGCTAGGCTGTTCTCAGGGGTGGCAGATGACAGAACAGGGAGCAATGGTCTCAAGTTGCAGTGGGGGAGGTCTAGGTTGGATATTAGAAAAACTATTTCACTAAGAGGGTCGTGAAGCACTGGAATGGGTTACCTAGGGAGGTGGCAGAACCTCCATCCTTAGAGGTTTTTAAGGCCCGGCTTGACAAAGCCCTGGCTGGGATGATTTAGTTGGTGTTGGTTCTGCTTTGAGCAGGGGGTTGGACTAGATGACCTCCTGAGGTCTCTTCCAACCCTAATCTTCTATGATTCTATGAATCATTAAGAAAGGGATAGATAATAAGACAGAAAATATCATATTGCCTCTATATGAATCCATGGTACACCCACATCTTGAATACTGCATGCAGATGTGGTTGCCCCATCTCAAAAAGATATATTGAAATTGGAAAAGGTTCAGAAAAGGGAAACAAAAATGATTAGAGGTATGGAACAGTTCCATATGAGGAGAGATTAATAAGATCGGGACTTTTCAGCTTGGAAAAGAGACGACTAAGGGGGGATATGATAGAAGTCTATAAAATCATGACTGGTGTGGAGAAATAAATATGGAAGTGTTATTTACTCCTTCTCATAACACGAGAACTAGGGGTCACCAAATGAAATTAATATGCAGCAGATTTAAAACAAACAAAAGGAAGTATTTCTTCACACAACACACAGTCAACCTGTGGAACTTCTTGCCAGAGGATGTTGTGAAGGCCAAGACTATAACAGGGTTCAAAAAAGAACTAGATAAGTTAATGGAGGATAGGTCCATCAGTGGCTATTAGCCAGGATGGGCAGGGATGGTGTCCCTAACCTCTGTTTGCCAGAAGCTGGGAATGGGTGACAGGGATGGATCACTTGATGATTACCTGTTCTGTTCATCCCCTCTGGGGCACCTGGCACTGGCCACCGGCGGAAGACAGGATACTGGACCTTTTTAGCATTATACAAATTAAAAATGTTCCATAAATGATTCAACAGAATTAGCATCTACTGCTTATATACTGGATATGCTTTGAGTCTATTTTACTGCTACCTTTTCTCTGAGCTGTTTGCCAGAAACTAAATGAGGTAATTTCAATCGAAGGACAATTTTTCTTTCTGTTGGTTAGTGGTGAATATAATGATGCCCCTCTATGGAAAGAAAATATATTGTTCTCTGGGTTCATAAAGTAAATCCTGCATAAAAATAATGACAAATATGATCTGTTTCAACAAGAAATGATTGTTTGAAAATACCCAGATATCAAAGAAGTTAAAAGTATACACAATTCTGGTCAATTTACATTGCTAATGCCGGTGGCCAATGAGGATAAAGACAAGCATTGTAATCTCTTGTTCAAATGACCATAAGTTTATCAGAGTAGTCTTTATGAGCCAAAATGCCTATGACTTTTACTTCTTCTTCAAAATCCCAAAGGTTTTTTGGATCTGCCTGTAATAACTGTTCTCCGACAAAATGGTAATTTCTCCAGGTGGCTGTCTTAATACAACAGTGTCAGATTTACAAGGAAACAGGAAGGGTAGATTATTTCTCAGCAACAGTAGCTACTCCCTTCCATACAGCCCATTCTCAATGGAGTCTGTCTTTCCATACAGCTTTTAAAATTAAAGTTAACACACTACCTCTGCTTTTAAGTTGTCATTACCTAACAAATGGCAACTTTTTCCCCATATTCTTTTACACCTGAGTTTAAGGTGCAAGGTCTGAAACCTTGAGTGCTGCTTTGGACACTTCAGCTGTAGAAGCTGGGATCACATGAACACAAGCCCCATCCCCCTTAAAGCAGAGTGGATAAAAATCATTATTTTAAAAAAATATCTAAAGCATCAATTTTTTGGTTTAAATCAACTTTTTAAAGTTAAATAATATTTATTGTTTACATGTTACTAGTTAGTTCTTTCCCTCCATTTTAGTCTCAAATTGCTATAGCGGATGTTTTGTAGTAATTTCTTTAGTTTCCTAATTGTTAGAAGAATTTCATATTTTACTTAGTGATTTCTTTCTTTTAGGTAATTCCATACTTTAAATGCTCAGTGAAAACATTTTAGTAATATTATTATGAGAACACAATCCCACACATAAGACTTATAAGCGAATACCCCATCCTGTATTTGTAGGGCCATACCAAATTCACGCTCCATTTTGATCAATTTCACACTCATAGGATTTAAATCTGAAATTTCATGGTGTAATTTTAGGGGTCCCAAAAATGAGTTGTGGGGGGGAGGGTCGCAAGGTTATGTAGGGGGGATTATGGTACTGCTACCCTTACTTCTGCACTGCTGCTGGTGGCTTTGCGGCCTTCAGAGCTGGGCAGCTGAAGAGTAGCGGCTGCTGGCTGCGAGCCCAGCTCTGAAGGTAGAACTGCCGCCAGCAGCAGTGCAGACATAAGGATGGCATGGTATGGTATGGTATTGCCACCCTTACGTCTGCACTGCTGCTGGCAGTGTTGCCTTCAGAGCTGGGTGCTTGGCCAACATCTGTCGCTCTCCGGTTGCTCTGAAGGCAATGCAGAAGTAAGGGTAGCAATACCGTGACCCCCCTGCAACTCCCTTTTGGGTCAGGACCTCCTATATGAGAAACACTGGTCTCCCCCCGTGAAATCTATAGTATAGGGTAAAAGCACACAAAAGACCAGATTTCATGGGGGGGCAGGGGGAGGGGACACCAGATTTTACAGACTGTGATGCATTTTTCGTGGCCATGAATTTGGTAGGGCCCTATGTATTTGTAACCAACAAAACCTTGTAATATACTGAACTTCCACAAGTAAAGAAAGCTGAAATTCTCTGATACTCTTCCATCAGGGTATGCAGTTTGAAGTCAATAGGACTTAGGAACATAAGTCACTAAGGTATTTTTGAAAATCCCACCTTTTGGTGCCTAAATCTGGGTATGGAAGGCTAATTTTACACTTCTTTTTGGGGGGAATTTTTTGGCTTGTGTGCATAAAAATTCAAAATAAATTTCTTAACATCTTGAAAGTCTAACTTTTTACTGTTAAAACTGAAGCAGTTTTGTTTTGAAGTGACAAAGATTTTATGCCACAAAGAGTAGTTTTTATTAAAATACCGTTTTAGATCCTGATGCTGCAAACACATGCATGTGCTTCACTTTAGGCATGTAATCAAAAGGATTATTCATGTGAATGAAGTCACATACTTGTTTGCAGGATCAAGGCCTTAACTTCCATTATTTTGGTTTTTGCCTATTGTATTTCTATAAAATTTAGAAAAGACAGACTACCAAAAGTGGTATTTTAAAAAGAAACAGCATTTGTAATTTAGTTCATTATACATTTTAAAGTAAAGTTAAAATAGAACAAGTTTTCAAATTAATTTTACACTGTCTCAAGATGACCTGAATCAATGATTTAAAAAAAATAAACAGTGATTTTAATCAATGATTTAAATTGCTCTGCCTTTCCTTAAAAACATACATTTATTATCTTCATTCTACTCCAGATGCAAGCAGCTAAGCAATATGTACAGAATCCTGCTGCCTCCAATGCTATTTGCTGCTAGTTCAGAAATCTGGATTCAAGTACCGTAAATTTCCTTTGCTCTCTCATCCCGCCTCCCTTCCCCAGCCATGAACAGATGGACACCAGATGGACATAAAAGAAAAGCATGTAAAGGAAGAGAAAATACAAAATGTAAGATATCAGTGAACAGAGGATGAGGAGAGGACAGATGAGAATGGAAGACAGGACAGAGGGTTAATAAATTTAAGAAATGGTTAAGCTGAACTTAATTTATGAAACCTCTCAAAGCCCCATCTGTACAGAATACAGTACTTTGCTTCAGCCCTGTGCACACATGAATTTTGAATCCATATGATGTGCTGGTACTCAGCAGGTTAATCTAAAGGACAGAAGAAATGTGAGCCTCAAAATTTCATCTAATATGATTTTAAACAGAGAAAACAAACCTAACCTAAGAATTAGCATTAATTCTCCAAGCACTTTTCTTTTTTGACAAAGAAGATAAACTAATTGAATAACATGGCATACTACATACATTCTGAATACTAGTGTAGTTTAAAACTAGTATTCTGAACTCACAAAAATATGACGACAATCCTAGTCTATAAACATGCACATTACGCCCAAATGTTTAACCTAATATTTTTAGTGTCTCGTAAATTGTCAGAACTAATACCTTCATCCACTTTTTTGGCTTGTGCTAACTTTTCTTGAGCTCTCTCTTTCAATGCTTGGACTGGAATAGAAGCCAATGCTTTCTTCTGAAGAGACTGGTTCTCATACACTTGCACATGCTGAAAGTTTGATTGAAGGGTTTTAAAGATTGTTTCAGCCTCCTAATATGGGAAAAAATATAGGTATTATTACAATCTATGCAAACCATTTTCTAGTAATTGGATGATTTCAAAACATCTGGTCTTGGTTCATTAATGTGTAAGCTTGTTTGTATATTTATTATAGAGTTTCTGATCATGACTCCATAGTTAAGATTGCATTACAGATTTCAGTTAAAAGGAGTTTTAAACTGTAAAAATATGAATAACATGGCTAAAATTAAAACACAGAATGTAAACTTTGAGCACTATTTGAATTTTTCATGATGGTTTGATTGAAAAATGGACTGGATACAGAGAGAAGTAAGAGCTCAAAAATAACCCTTTTGGCAATTTTTCACTGGATTGTCTCACTTTTCTTTGTATGCCCTTTCCAAGGAATCTAATATGCTCAGATTGTGGGATCTGTCCTTTGTGCACATTGTTGCTCCTCACGTGCTGATTCCCAGAGTACCAGTTATACATAGCTGTGCTTGACTAGAGAGCATTTTATAGCTTTTTAGCCATAATGGAAAATGTATGTGTCAAGCTGAAGCTGCTGAATTTGACAACATAGCAGCCACAGCACAAATAATGTGGTGAAAGAGAGTGAGTTAGCATACCTCTATAACCAAGGGGATAATTCCCTGAACTAGGAAGGAGGAGACCAAGAGTTTAAAGCTAACTGTTCTTTGTATTTCCATGCAAGTCACAACCAGCAAAGAATGGCTGAAAAAACCTTTATTGGAAGTAGTGATGCCTATTGTTAAGGCTTCTGAGCACTTCTTGTTATAAGACCCTGAGTGCTGGAATGAAACTCGGGAGACCTGGATTCTAATCCCAGATCTCCCACCCTCAGCTTGTTCACTGTAGCAGATTGACTAAACCAGTTTTGGTTATTAACCACTATAATTTCTAACCACTATAATTGCACTCCCCTCTTGTTGGGATTCCCTCTGAGACCTCTTTCCACTCGGCTTTCCTAGAACTTAGTTCAACTTCAGATTCTGTCACTCATATTTTTAGTTGGCATACAGCAAAGCTACGCTGAGATGATCACACTCAAGCATAGTGGGTTGGTATAGGGCATACCACACATCCAAAGTTACACTGCAAACCTCTTTCTTTATATACATTTATACATTATATTGCATTTGCTATACATTGCATCACATATTTTGGGATTTGACTTTGTAGGAAACAATCCCTGTACAGCACACACTGTCCATACATGATTTACTCTTTACCTCATCTTATATTCCAGGCTCATTTTAGTTACTTATTTTATCCATTATAAATGGTTTTCTGGGGTCCCCCCTTGTTTTAGCTAGTACAGACATTCTGCTTTCAGCCTACTGATCCTAATCCTGTCTCCCAAAAAATGAAGCCTCACCCATGTCCAATTAGTCATGTCAAGCCAGGTCTATACTTTTCAGAGCCAAATACAGAATCCAGGATTCCTGATCACCAATATTCTACTGCTGACTAGTAAACAGTTGTGTCAGCCACTCAGAAAGCACGTCAAGTTCTCATTCAGTGACTAATCCACAAAGTGGCTAGCAATTATTAGCCACTGAATTGGCCTAAGATAGCAATTTGAAGATCAAGGGGTTCAAAGCCTGCTGCTGATTTATACGGGCAGATGGCACTGTGTGGTTCACACAGTGAAAAGACTTCTTTTAACTTTATACTTAAATTCAATCTATAAATTATGGTGGGAATCAACAAAATATACGTTTCACATTTCAGCTGTTTGTCACACATTTTGCTTGTATGATGCACTGGTCAATGTGTGGATTGTGTGCCTCTCCATGCCCAAGGCTCTGAGTCTGATAGCTCTGAACTTCAGAGGCTAGTTCTTCAGCATAAACTGTAACCATTCATGTTTTTAGCTCTGGAGTTCAGCCCTGGTATCATTCACGATGGTGGTTGTCACATATTGGCAGGTTTGAAGGTTGAGAAGCATGCTCCAGGCATATCATAGCCTCTCACACCCTTCGGGAGGGTCAACATATTCAGGGGCAGCTTTAGCAACACAGCTTCTCCTTCCAATTCCCAAGCAGCTACAGCTCCCTTTCTCCCTGATTCTTGGCAGCTATCCACTGAGGTACCCTAAAGCCTATATAAAAAACCTAGGAAATCAACTAACAAAAACAATGTTTAGTTGCAATTAAGGGCACACCACAACCACTTAGAACCTTAAAAGCATGGATATAAGAAGTTACGGTAGAAGTCTCTTGTATGCTCTGCCACCTTCATTGCCTACAACACAGTTGATAATGGACTCCAACACACAATAAGGCTTTCACTTCCTCATCCAATAAATACCCAAAAGCAATATATGTCCCAACTTCAGCAAACTTGCACTCTTAGGTATATGCATATTATAGGCATTAGTAACAACATTACTAATTTTCTTTCTTGTCACTAGGGGAAAGGGTGTTTGACAGTTATTCTAAAAGCAAGACTAAAGCCTACAGCAAGGCCAGCATAGTCCTAGAGGAGGTGCAAGCAGATTTGGCTCAGAGGAGGTGCTGAGGTGCAAGCGATTTGGCATTGACAAAAGTGGTTCATGGCCATTGCCACAGTCACAATGGATAGGCGTTACATACTTCTTCCTTTCTGAGAGAGAGCTCAGATTAGAGGTCCATTTTCCCATACTGTATGAAGGAAATAGGAATGGGACTTAAGGAGCATGACCTTGTTCATTTTTGATAGGGCCCCTGACCTGGTCACTATGCCCCCTGGTCCACAAATTATGGAGTATCCCAAGGGGGGGGAGGGGTGGTGGTGTGTGTGTGTGTGTGTGTGTGTGTGTGTGTGTGTGAGAGAGAGAGAGAGAGAGAGAGAGAGTCATCAGTTGATGCAGAACTCATATAAGTACCAGGGCATACAGATACTCATGTCCTTCTGTTTCATCTATTTGTTGTGTGGGATAGGGTGAAGATTACCGGGGTAATGGTGGGAGACTATCAAGCTCAACATTGCATTTTCAACTGTCTCTTTTGGCTCAGGAACTAGCAACATGGCTTGGGGCTGGTCTCCGCTGGTGCCATCTGGCTGCTAGATTTGACATTTACTAACAATGAAGGATCAACACTGAATTAGCCTGCGTGGCAATTCCCATATTATTCTGTCTACTTTAGCCTTCCTCCCCCCACAACAACCTTATGTTTTGTGTGGCTGTTCACATCCTTCCTTTCTCCTCTCCCAGCTCCAATAAAAACCAAACAAATAAATAACCCATAAATAAATTTAATAAATGTTCACATTAAAAAAAATGAACAAAACAAAACTGGAGATGGATATTTGAATGATTAATTTCAGCATGCTTTTGGACTTCAGACTTGTGTTCTTATGCCTCAACATCTATGGTGTCTTTGCTGAGATGCTCCTTCCTTATCTCACATTTGCTGTCAGATTGCATCTGTTCCTTCCCCTCTTTTGTATAGCTTTTTTATGGCTCTGCAGGAAGGAATGATGGTTGAATCAGAGGGCTCCTCCTTTAGGAAGGATTATAGGGCACAGTATGCTTCAGGGGGCTTTCAAGAGGGTAGCAATTTATTGGCCTGCATCATAGATGGCCTTCATCTGTGGGACACGGTTAGTTTTGGTGCATGACCAACTTATCTACAATTTCAGCATCAGCACTCGCTCATATACATTAAACCTCACTGTCCCTTGGCTTACAGACATCAATGTGGTTGTGGACAAAGACATTTAAGCTACTAATCTAAAACACAAGTGGGTCTGCTGCCTCCACTGAAAAAGGCTGTTACATCACCTGTACTACTCTATTAGGCAATCTGCTGTTAGTTTGGTTAGATACATGCAGACTGGTAGTTGCTTGATCAAAAATATCATCAAGTTATGAAAGCTTTTTGCCCATTCAGCCAGGAGCTGTGGATGCTGATACAGAAGAGCATCCCTTCCAATTACCTCCAACTATTGGGTCTGAATGAAGTACATCTCTTGGATGTTGGGAGCTGATGCCATTATTTCCATGGTTTATTTCAGTGCAATGTTCTACTATTTCTCTTTTTGGCTTTCATATCTAGCTAGAATCCAACTTCTATAAACTCATTCTGTGTCCTATACATAGAATTATATATTTCTGAGATTACCTGTTTGTCCTAACTCCTCCTTAATGATTTTGTTCAATCTGGCTGTTTCCTAGGAAGATTCTGTCCTGAGTTATTGGGCTCACTTTAAAACAAAGTCCTGTGTAACAGGATGGTTTGCTCCTTCAAGGGTCAGAGCATCTGGGGCCAGAGGCTCTTTAAAAACAGGTGTTTGGGCCTCATAGAGGTGTTATCAGACCCAGCTGGGAAGGAGTCAGGTGACAGTTTGATGAGCACCGGATTCCCATAAAGGCTGAAAGAGCTCAGTTAAGGAGAACTATAGAAGCAAGCTGGTGCTTGTTCTGGGGGATGCCTAAGCAGACTGTTTCTAGACTGGAGAAGAGCTGCCAGGAGGAAAGCCTGTGGGTCGGGGAAAGGTTGAACTGCTTTTTTGGGGGATCTGCTAAAGACTGTCAATACAACCAATAAACAGTGCTCTGACAAAAGGGCCTGAACAGATGCTAGGCGGGGCATTAATCCTTTCTGTGATGGGGAGACAAGTCAACAGACTACATGCTAAGACTCTTTAATAAGGTATCTAGATTACAGATGTTATTGCTCATGTCTGGTCTGTATGAGTATTCACAAAGCACTCATTAAACTCTCTGAAGTCCTGTCACAGTATGCACTAAGCTCACGTCTAAAACTAGAATTAACTTCCTTGGGGCAATCACTCATTCAATTGTTCTTGGTAAGTAATCTGGAGGGGATAGTCCCTCAACATTATAGGCAGCAGCAGTTTCTCCCTGCAGAATGGAATTTAGAAGTTTATCAAAGCAATTCAATGAGCTCTAGGTCCTGTGCAGTCAGATCTGATTCTCAGCTGCCATTCAGTGTTCCACTGACTGAGATATAAACTTCTGGCAAAAATTAAATAGTGCTGAAGTGGATTATCTGGATTTG